GGTTACAATGTTTGTGTGTTTGTAATGCGAGAAATTATGTAAAACACCATGGCTGATGTTCCAATTCGAGATGGCTGAGAAGTGCACGAGTATCAAGTGGTCTCTTTATTTTGGGCTTATTATTATTCATGAAATTTGAAATTGAATCTTTCTCTGTTACCTCTCTGGGTAAATGCAATTACCGCCGGTATATGGGTCCGCAGAAGCAAGTGAAAAAAAAAACAACTGACGAGATGTAAAATCGATATGGTCGAAGTGTGTACGTGAGTGCTTTTTATAGTTTTTTTTTGTGTATTTCACTGCTCGAGAGGTTTTTGTGTCGGCGGTTGCTGCTATTATTGTTGTTGTTCACGAATGAAAGGTAACATAAGTACTATTGCTCTTAACTCGATCAATACCTAAACAATCGTCGATGGAATACAACAATGGAAAAACTTCTGCCGAATTGCGATTTCAAGTGAATGTCTGTAATATTTGGTTTTGATGTTTGAGAGGGAGGCTGTTCATATTGCCATTTTTATTGGTAATTTTCACGATTATCGATAAAAAGACGAGCAAGACGAGTGAGAAGTTGCATATAAAAGTTGAGCATTTTTGATGAGTTGAATGGGAGAAATTTGGCAGACGATAATTTAATATTTCGAGCGTCTGTGCGAGCGAATAGAGTTGCACCATTGAAAAACAGTGAAAAGCCAGCTTTTTATGCGAGTACGTGAGTTAAACTTAAATTGATTTTTAACAAGTGCAAGCTCTCGAGCAATTTTGTTTGTATGACCTGCGGTTGTGATATGGTATAACGAACTTTTAGCACTGCCGAGGAATACGTTCGCATTTAAACAAGAAAAAAACGGTTGGCGTATTGATTTTCGAATGTTGCCACAACTGATGTAGCTGTATTTTAAAATGAACGTGTGCGTGGTTTTATACAAAATGCATTTGACCTAAATATCCGCATATGATTTTCAATGAGTGTTGCCTGCATTCAAGTGCTATAAATATATTTGAGCATTTGAATGTGATTCGGTTTCCTGTTCCGTGGTTGTTATTTTTGATAATTACCAACGATAAAAAACTGCATCAACCATATTTTATACAACATTGTTTTATGAAGTTTCGTTTCAGCCAAACGATCTATCCACCACCCCATTGGCTATTTTGCTCATTAGCATATTAAAATATTGATAAATTGATAACATTATTATCATTTCACTTGGACATATTGTGACAATGGTTCAGCGGTGCTTCCTATATTGTGATACTAAGTAATGACAAATATTTACAAATGATCGTAGTGTGTGAATAATACAGCGAAAAATAGGCTCGATTATCTCTATTATTTTCGAATAACAGCTCTCAAAATCGATTGATTGGTACATGTTCCGGCGTGCGATATAAATCCATCGGAATGAATATGAATCCAAGCAAATGATTGCACAATAAGCACTCAACGATTGTGATAATTTCATTTTCATTTTTTTTTCTCAAATGACAGCATCAAAATAGACACGCTCGCATGCACCCACTTGAAAAGAAAATGAAATCTATAATTATTCCGCAAAAGTATTAAAAGCGGAAAAACTGTGCTTGCGATAGCTCTGAATGCCAATTGATAAATGAATTAACAATAATCTCGTTCAATGATTTATCATCAGCACACTTTCGATACAATGTTATTAAAATGGATAAAATTATTTTGGATTTTCAATTTTCTGGTTAAAAAAAATCGCCACAGACACACACACACTCAACATGGGCATAATCATCGACAACACATTTATTAAAATCAATTCAATTATTATTAGTGTTCGCTCATTTATTTGGCATATTTCGATTTTCATTTGTGTGATACAAATGACGCATATGCTCATTGAATTGGAATCTGTGTTAATTGAATTTGACAAGCAAAAAATGCGGTAATGATGCATATTCAGGTCTTTAGGGAGAGATTAACCTTTTTTTTTTCTTTGCATGAACAAAAAATGGTGCTTAATTGGCTAAAAAATTTACCATGAAATTTGTTCTACTCAATCAACGCATTATTGAGGTAAGTCCAATATACACTTACTACGTAGTATAGTATTTAACCTGAACAGTCTTTTTATGCAATAAAAAAAAACGCTGGTTTAATTGCACGAAGAAAGTTTCTATTGTACCATAAAATACAGTTAAATGTAACTTCTGTAGAAACTTTCCAGCACTTTTTCTTTGCATAGGGCGGAACCCATGATAATATGTATGCAAATGTATGCGGTAGTTTAAAATTCTTCATTTGACTTAATTCAACTAAAATGATAGGTATTTTGATAGTTCAAAATGACATTTGCTTGTAAATAAGCATGACCAAAACCGCAGAATAAATTTGTTCCAAATGAACATAATAGCATATGAAAGCGGTTCAAATATAAAAAACCACAATCTTGAACAGCACGCGTTCTACTTGAATAGCTTTGCCACAATTACAAATGTTCAAAGTAAATTCTTTACATTTGTTTTGACTGTAATTAAACGTAATTCCTTTCAACCTTTTTACAGAATTAGAAAAGTGGGCAATTACTTTTTGATCTGGACTTAAAGAAATCATTATTTGATTCAGTGTAACGTATTATTTTCTCTCTGTGTGCAATTTTACTGGCCATGATTGTGGATTGTCCCTTCCAAATTTTTCATTCTTAAGTCCAATCGTAGTTGGAAGAAAAATGTTATATAATTTGCTTCATTTCATTTCTCTGACATTCCATGATGAGAAAAGTTTTTATTCGTAATAATTTTTCAGCTTCACAATAGCTGAGTAGAGTGAATGGAGGATTGAAAAGATATAGTTTTGACTAGACAGCGGTGGAGATTTTCTAAAAGATTTATCATTGAAATTCTTTGGATTTTTTAAGCGATAAACTCAATCTCCTTAAAATTAACAGAGTGCTCGATAAAAACTGAATCAAATCAAAGCAAGCAAGTTTGCCAACAAAAATCAAAATAAAACCAAAAACATTCGTTTTGTACATTTGAAATGATTAAGAAGTCACCGGTATTCATCATTCGAAACAATGCGACCACAACAAATCACTCAGTTGAAAAAAATAGCAAGTCCAAAAGTAAATGGGTTGCGGCCGGTTGCGGCTGACGTAAGACTGTGAATACCGAAGTATCCATCACGTACAATCAAACATATTTTTACTTTGAACCATTTTTATGATTGAATTCACAAAATTTCCAAGCATTTGCTATAAATGTCTGATGTGTTTTTTATGCTGTTGTTTGCGTAAAGAAAAAGAAATTTGACATAAATAAACATTTCAGGAAAATCATTTGTTTTTCTTTTTGGACCACACAGTATACTTCCGAAACGGCTTCAAAGAAATTATTCTACAAAATTGGATGAACCTTTTAAATTACAATGGTAAAATGATGGACTCTTCGGGCCATTCAATTTCAAACCGATGCGGATGAGAAATAATAATACATTTGTGGATTTACATTGCTTACCTGGATACAACATCAAAATTTTACTATGTTCAACAATTGTTTCATTTTTTTCTATTATCATTCATCATCATAAAATTGCCTAAAGAACATGTTTTCCATTTCAATTCATATATTATTCAAAATGCCCACATTTAATTAAGACATGATCCTGTGATTTTGATAATTTCATACGTGTTTCTTGTACTATGGAAAAAGCAATAAAAGTGTCGAATTTTCTAAAATGTAATATTTGAAAACAATTTTATGTATTTTGGATTATTATCTGCAGATTTTTGATGATTAACTTCCAAAAATGCAATTATAAAGAATTTATTTTCCATTCTCCTCTCGGTATTCTCGTTCAGAACAGATTGATGTTTGGCAATCTACTATATCTCATTACGAATATCGAACATTAATTCAATGTAAAAACACTTTCCCTAATTTGACTTTTCATATAAAATTTCTCTCAATTAACAATGACATTTATCTCCGAGTAAATGCCATGAACACATTTTTTTTGAACCGCAAATGTCGTTTTTTCATAGGTCAGTGCTCTTGACAAGGAATGTCACCAATCAACAACAATAATTCACTTTAATTAATCCCTATATACAATACATGATGCAGTGCACACACAATTTTTTCTCGGAACGAGATGAAGAGGGAAAGAAAGGGAGAGTTTAGAAAGAAAAAGATAAATGGGTTCTATGAAAAAGCGATTGTTGTATTTTTTGCACTATTGAAAGGCGCCATCAAGTCAAATAAATAATATAGTGAGCGTCTTGCGAAATAGACGTCGAATTTCAGAGGCATGATGATATTTTTCATTGCAATTTTATCTGCACGCGCGTTTGTTGTAATTAAAAAATTCTAATTAACATTTAATTTTATGTGGAGTATTTTAGCGCGCGTGAGAATGTCGTTTTTAATGGTAAATATGTGCCATGGTTTTTCATACACTTGTTTTTCACATTCATTTACGATATAAGTTGCTCTATTAGAGCTTGTTTTTAATGAACTTCAACAAGCGTCATAAATTCCAACAAGTCTATGTTCTTAGAAGCGCAACCGCTTATGAAACGACAATATTTTTCAGCTTGAAAATGATGGCGTAATTTATAATTAACATTTTTTTGCTCTCCACCCTCATCGTTGATTTTTTTATTTTGTGTATTTTTTTTCATGGTTGGTTGCTTTATACACACGAATTATTACTTTATACAACATTGAACAGGAAATCCTTACAGAAATTCTTAAAAACTTTGCGGTGTAATTGAATTTTTAAAGACGATTTTTCTGTCTGAAAAGTACACACATAACGAGATCATGATTTTTCTAGTGAGCACACTTTAATGCCATAATGCGCTTCAGATAAGACAAATACCCTAAAAATGATTGAATGGAGCGTGAAAAATCATGGTAAAATACCAGTAAAGCTTCTTACCAACTGAATTTATTTTGGAGATTAATAGATTTTCGCTAAATAACTATTTGAGAAAATCTGGGCGATAGAAAAACCATTTAAAACAACAGCATTTTCAAGAAATAATCTATATTTTTTTTGGTTGATATAAAATCCACATATATGTATACTACTAGTACATTAAATGTTGATATATGTGAACCGTAATAAATGTTCGTACGACATATTTCATATTATTTACTATGAAGTTTAAGTAAACGGTCTGCTGTCAATGGACGTTGTATCGCCACTCGTCGGGCAAAATCTTCATAAGTGCAGCAATAGGTGAAACCGCGTCGTGCAGTTTGCGTAAATGAAATGCCGCCTTCTTGACAGACGTCCGAACACAAGTGGCGTACATCCGATTGCTTTGCAAATGGATTATTTGACGTTATAAAAACAATGGCCGCATTTGTTCTTGAATTGTGTACAATTTTCCATAAATATTCCGGCACTTCGATTTGATTAGTTTCGCTCAAATATAATGGCACTGAGTCACCACTACTACTTGCCAATGCCAGTTGACCATAAACACCGGTGTAAATATTTAAGGTAGTTTTCTCTTGTTCGGCTAAGTTGCGAGCAACATTTTCAACGCGATTCCAGTTGGCCCCGTTAATCGATTGAAACTGAGGACAAACATTGGCAAAAAAGTATGTAGCGAATTGAGCCGAACTGAAAACAAAATCAGCATCCGGTGTTAAGTGACCTCATGATAGAAAATAGATTTTAAAAAATTAATAATAATAATAGTAATTTTACTATACTGTACACATAAGATAATATTACCTCGCGATAGAAAAGAACTGTTTGTGAAGTAGCGTTGTCCAGTTCCCAGCTTACTTTTGAAGTGATTAATTTGTGTTTGCTTTCGGTAGCTCACTTCAACTTTAGCCAGCTTTGGTATGCCGTTTGCTTTGAAACTCCTGCGATCACTTTCTTTTATATTATCTGAAGCGTATCGAAATCGAAATGAATATACAAACATTGAAGTTCTTCAAAATTGATGCACTTACAATTAATCGATTTGCCGTTGATTTGATGATGCGTATAAAGTACTGACGCCCGTGCACTATCGTAGCATATTTCATATGTTTCCACAAATTTACGATCAAATGCAAAACCAGCACGATAAATTAAACCTTGATGGGTGTTCAGGTGACATGTTTTTGTTGTTGTTTCCAAGTCGCCTGCTATTTGCTTCGTACAGTTCAATTGATGTAATTCGCTGCGAAAATTACTGGTGCACGCTAATTCGGCTGAATTATCATTTGAATGGATCAATGTGTTTCGCCTGCCCGGGCAATACAGAATCAATTTGTCATTCGATGAAATTTCGATACTATTGCCGTCTGGCTCAAATAGGCTCAAATGACCGTCTGATTTTTCAAGCAAATAAACTGGCTCATTTTTTGGTATTTGCTTTGTAATTTCAACACGGCAACTGTTTGCTGTTTTGTAAATTTAAAATGGAAACACATTTGTTAGTTAGGAATTGTTTTTTCTTCGCCTTTGAATAGAGATAAGATAAGATTTCATCTATATATTCATTTTGTAGACAAATAATTTTATTAAACATACCTGCAGCTGTTGAACACAAACCGAACAAAATACAAACACTTACACCAAGTACAAACGATTTTCTAGTCATTTTCAAATTTACTTCGTTTCAAGTTACATGCGACACTGAGCTCCGTCTTTCATGCAACGCAGCTACGATACGACTGAGAAATTCAAATCTCCGATGTTAACAATTTTTTTTCCTCTCTCTCTCTCGCTCTCTCTCTTTCTCTCTCGTATTCTTCTTTGTGTGACTGTTTTATACTTAAATGTGTATGTGTTATGATGAGTAAAAGCAACAAGATTGTCTCATAAAAGATAATGTGAACGATAAGAATCCGGAAAAAAAGCGGAGCGTAAATTCATATAACAGGCTATGCCGAAGGGCATCAAATTCTCCACATCGTAAGCAAAGCGATTCAATTATCAGCTTCGATGGGCCGTGGTTAGCGTGTCTGTGTCCATTTGTGATGGGTAATTAAATTTAATTAGAGACTGAAAACGACAAAATTGGCTATCACAAAATAAAGAAATGGAAAGAAAGAAATCGTATACCTGAGACAAACTCATTAATGACTCATTACTATGCACGACTTGGTTTACAGTTAAACTGAGTTCTTTGACATAATCTATAGATTCCATGCTGTTCTCGGACTGTGAAAATCTCCAAATGACCATGCACACATTCGATTAACTCATTAGCTCATGTCAACCGATAATGGCAATTCAATCGAAATGTTGTTGTTTTGTTGTTGGTAAGTCAAGGGTCATTGGCTAACTCTTCCTTGAGGCGTTCAATGCTTATCATCATGTTTGGTATTTCAACGATGAATTACTTCACACTTTTTACCATATATTTTGTAAAATATTAGTATCTCATCCACGCCATTTGTTTACTATTATGCAATATTTGGATTTATTAAAGCAATAAAACACATTGATTTACATTTCACTCAAAGAAAAAAATGCTGACGATAGAATTAATTCGTACTATTTTACAGTAGATACATGCAACTCATCTTCATGCTCATGACTCAATTTAATATATTTCGAATGGTGTTGTTTTTTTTTTGCTCCACCGTTATTCACAAAATATTTGTTTGATTCACGTGTAATAAAATTTGAAGAAAAAAAGAATTTGGTTCATTTTTCGTTTATGGCCTTGATTTTATATTTATTTACGCCATGTGTGTGCGAGTTTTTTCTTCTTTTTATTCATAAATTCTCTTTTTTTTCTTGCGTCATATCAGCCGGAAAATAATCTGCAGGTGTATAAATTAATCCATGCAATTAAAAATAAAATGAAAAATGAGTCCCGAGTAAATTAAGTTTATTCATTGATGTTCTATATCAGCGTCACGGGACCATGATGCAATATTTTCATTTTGGTAATGCATTCTTGTGCATGTCTCCCTTTGTCTCTCTTTATTTTGCTTCAACAAATTTCATACCAATTTTCATCTGCGAAAAGAATGCATTGAGAGATAGAGTTACGCATATGAATTCAAAAAAAAAAAAACACGTAAAAAAAGACATCAAAAATACAAATGAAAAAACTAAAATAATATAAAACAATGAGTTGAACTTTTAACCAAGTGCATTTTTTGTGCGATGCCAAATGTTGGCAAAGAGAATAAAACATGGAAATGGAAACATAAACAAAAGGAATTTGAATATGTTTGGTTTATTGTTTGTGTGGTGCGCTTCACATTTTTTTATTACTGTACGTAAATACAGTAAAACTTACGAATAGCAGCAGCTCCAAATAGCGGAAATGGTCGATCATTGACTTTGTTTTTGGTCCTGGTTTTACTGTATCTCTGTGTGTTTGCTAATAATAATAATATAAATACGGGAATGACGTTTATTCGTGTGTTCATTTCGACCGTTTGCATTATGCACGACCGATATATCTACCGAAATTCGAATACGCGCATTTTGATAGAAATTGATGATGTAATCATGAGGACATTGCTGACCTCTTTTTTTGGACATTCGAATAACATTTTCTATTTTTAAACCTTTTTCCATGCTTCGTTAAAATGTATCTAGAGCATTTTTGTACGAATTCAACTGAATATGTTTACCTTTTTTAATCTTTGCTATTTTAATTTGAATTGCTACCAAAATTAGAACATTTTCTATGAAACATTTTAATTAAAATGGACAGCTTAATATATTCGAACCAAGATACTCGCATATCTAATAACAATAGACATATATATATATTGTTTCCATGGTCAACGGTCTTTGGTTTGCACTAACACCACCTTGACCATCGCAATTGAAAAGTTTCACTTTATTTGTGCATTTTACCGGCATAAAATTAAAGAAACTAATACACGAATCGCGAACAAAAAAACCACCATGAATCTACTTCGCAATTCAAAATCCAGTGCGTACATAAATATCATTTCAGTTGTGTCCGTCGCATCGACCGGAAGGGCACATTGTGAATAATCCAGAAAGACACTTTGTGATAAATTGAAAATTGTGAAGTTACAAAAAAGAACCGGGAAACTCGATCCATAAAAAAAAATTGTGGCTTTCCCAGGGTATTTATATTTTATAGTGTACTTCTCAGAAGATTCGACTCAATTGAATTTTTTTCTTTAAACCAAGTTTATAAACCATAAAAACAGAAGCGATGATAGAAAGTTATTTTGAAGCCGTGTAAAAGAGATTAATGAACAAGAAAAATTGACGAATAACGAAAAAAAATATATCGGAAAGATAAAAACAGATAGAACTTTAAATAGAAGAGAAAAACAAATTCACAGAAATGGCACTTGTGCTGCGTTCATTTTATAGCTCATACCATTGGCTATTCCATGACTATCAGGGTAAGCAATACAGTGAGTTTAACGTTTGTTGAGTGGTTTTATCGTAAATATTATATACAAACAGATCCACGAGTTGACAAATATCCGCTAACTTCATCGCCCATGCTTATCTTTGGGTTGACGGCACTCTATGTGTATTTTGTGACCAATTGGGGACAACGATTTATGTCAAAGCGACCACCATATGATCTCACTAATGTCATTAAAGTTTACAATTTCACTCAAATCATCTTCAATCTTGCCATCGGCTCATATGTAAGTAATCAGATTGATAAATTCCACAATCAAACCGAACTAATGAAAATATTGACACTTGATTTAATTTAAATTGGCGATGACATTGATTTTGTATTCAAAATGAATGGTACCAAAGTACAGTAGACAATCACGGTGTAATACCAAAAATAGGTCAATTTAGCCAAACCGTTTAGTTTAGATAAACAAAACCTCTAACCATTAGACTTTATACTTGCAAAACTGGGACATAAATTCGACGCAGTTTTGAAACAATCTGTTATTTCTTTAACCGCAATATAATACGTTGTTGTTTACAATATGTACGCGTAGTTACATTTTTAAAAGGGCGCATTTATGTCCCATTTCTGCAAAGTGTTTGGCATTTATTTAAAATAGCTCAACTCGAAAATGATTTTACTCATTTAGGCGGCATATTATGCGTACTGGCGACAAACAATAAGTATATCATGTGGGGCGAATGATACAACAAACGACTCGTACGAAATGCAGCAAATAATTCTTGCAACGTATTTATACTATATGTCAAAGATCATCGATTTACTCGATACGGTAATCAGTTGTGAAGCGTCAAATTGCGTTCATGTCATTCACACAAAATTCATTGATTTACATTTTCAGGTGTTTTTCGTTCTTCGAAAAAAGAATAATCAAATAACATTTCTGCATGTGTATCACCACGGTGGAATGGTCATAGCAACGTTTATATACTTTAAATTTCTCAGCGGTAAATTGCAAATGAAATACGCATAAAAATTGTGCAAATCACATTTATTTATTTATACGTTTTACAGGCAGCCATGGTACCCTGCTTGGCGTTATTAATTCATATGTCCATGTCATTATGTACTCATACTATCTCTTGACGTCCTATCGACCCGAACTGAAAAATTCACTATGGTGGAAAAAGCATATAACACAAATTCAACTGGTGAGTTAGACCGTTTCGAAACGGCGGATGCATTTTAAATGCAAATACAACCTTAACACATGCATAAAATGAATGGTCATGTTTAATGGAATTGATTTATATTGCGTGAATTGATATACAATTGCAGATACAGTTTGGTGTTTTGGTCATTCACTTCTTGAACCCGATATTTTTCTTTGAATGTCAATGGCCAAAAGCCATTTCATTGATTGGCGTCATACAAAACTTGTTTATGTTTATACTATTTTTGGACTTTTACATCAAGGCGTACGTGCGAAAATCGAAGAAGGCACAATGAATACACCTGATGGAGATAATTTATGATATCCTCTTTTAACGTGTATTTTGATTTTTATTTCGATGAAATTGGTATGATGAAGAAAAAGAAATGAGAAAAACACGTTACATATATAGAAAATAGCGATTTAATTATTTCATTATACAATGTACCACTAATGACCTATGCAATAAATGAATATCCATCAAAATACTTAACAAACGTTCGTTTGATTTTAAAAACAATTGATTAGAATAAACTTTTACAGATTTTTGGCGAACCTCTTAAATCGTTTATTCGGTTTGGCATTTCGTGGCAATGCATTTTGTATGGATTTTTTAATTTTTCGTTTAACTATGTTCTTTAGTTCCTGTCTTTGTGCATCATCATAATCTGCTGTATTGGTCTCTTGATTTTCGATCGGTTCAGGTGCAGCGAAGAAAGTCATACCCTCTGAAAAGTGATTTTCGTAAAAAAATTGAATTTTCAAGTCGACTTGAATCGCAATAAAATAAACAAAAAAATACCTGATACACGTTCATCAGCTGAACTCAATGTGAAAAATGATTCATATTTTAGGCCTGATTTCTCACCATCCGGCTTCGGAACAGTGGTGCTTTCCTTTTTATCATTATCTGCTTCGTCGCCGGATGAATCGTATTTAAATGGATCGAAATCTGCTAAGAATTTTACGCCATTTTTGGCAATCAATTTTTCCTCGTATGGTTTGCTTGGCGTCGTCGTTGTTGTTGCATCTGTATTCTCCGCTGGTCTGTTGAACATACTCAATAAACTAAATCCGCCAGAACCCAACGATTTTTTAAGATCACCCCTGACTTCGTAGAAATGTTCCATCGAAACAATTGGCTCACTTTTTTCCGTTTCTTTTTCAACATATTCATCTTCAGTCTTCAGTCGTTTCGATTCGGGTTCGGCGATTGCTTTTGATTTTCGCTTCTTTACTTTTGGCTCAATGAACTTTGTGTGTTCGGCACGAGTTGGATCGAATCGTAACATAGATGGTGGTGCTCTGGAATTAAATTAATTTTGAATTGCTGCAAATTTCGTTAAAAATTCAAGTGGTTTGTTATACTAACTTTTTCTCCTTTGACGTTTTGCTAGCCACCTTCTTACCGATGACACTTTCTAAAATATTTAATTGCCATTGACGTTCATCAAACTCATTCGTTTCGATGTCATCGCTGCTTTTTGTGGTCGCTTCTTCTCCATTCTGTTTTGCAGTTGCTTCGTCATTTTCACTTTCATCGCTTTCACCTTCCAAGAACTTGGAATCCATTTTGAAACGACTATCACCTTGGAAACGATCCTGCAGTCTCCTTAGTTTCTCGCCTTTTTTTCCCTCGAATTGATGTTTTATTTCGAAATTACCCTCGTAGCCCTGTTCATTATCGCTGTCGTCCGCATCGTCAAACAGATTTCGCTTCTTTTCCATTGATTTATTTTCCTTTGACTTTGTTTGGTTTATCGATTTTGTTGACTGACTCGAAATGGGAGTTTCATCATCATCATCATCTTCAAACACAATCTTGTTGCTTTTCTTGCCGGAATCCTAAAAGGAGAATTGGATTTAAAAATAAATATAAATAAGCGATTGGCAATCATCAAATTCAAATACTAACAACTCCAGCCAATGCCTTCTTGATGGCCAATTTCTGTTCATTGTATGAATTTTTCATCTTATTCAATGATTCCATTCGTTTTTGATCTGCTTTCTTCGATTTTTCATCCAATTCCCTTTTGTTGGTCTTTTGCGCCTTCGATTCAATAATATGAATTGCTTCTCCACTCGAAACTGAACGATCGATTTTTATCTAATAAATTTGAAACAAAAAATGTTCATAAAAGTATTGTAAGATTTTGTATGTATAATATAAATCGGTTACCTTTCCATTTTCAACGAACATTTTCGACTTTTTTTTCAAAACAAGATTGTCTTCATTTTTATTTGAATCCGACTCACTATCACTGCTTTCTGACGATGATTTAAACTTTTTGGAGCCATTTTGTTGGGCGATCGATTTATTTTGTTGCGATGGACTCTCATCTTCGCTGCTCTCATCCGAACTACTACTCTCGGAACTAGATGAATCTCCTGTTGAAAGTGTTGGAAGCACTGCTTTTACTGTTTCCACTTGAATTTGTGTCGATTCATTTTTTTTTTCTTTAAATTGTGCGGCCTCTTCTCGTTCTCGCTTCAATTTTTCCAAAAAATTCTCACGGGCAACTGTAACTTGCAACTGTCGGCCACGATATTTTTGCTCTTTAAACTCTTGCAAGCATTGACGCAGCGTACGATCATCAAGTCCAATTGTGATAAAAGCGAATGTAGTCTGTACTTCATCTGAATCCGGCGTTTTCTTCGTCTTGATTTCAACTTTATTGACGGCACCTGCGAAAAAAGTATTTTTTTTTGTGATTGTAAACACTTTACACGGTGGAACAATTTCTACTTACCGTAGTATGCAAACTCTTGTTTCAGTTCATGCTCTTGAATATCAGGCGGAAGATTTCCAATAAACAATCGTTTTTGCTCGCTAATTGCCATTTTTTTCCCGGAAAATTAAAATAAACGCAAAACAACGTTGTTTTTCTATCAAAGAAAAAGAGAGTCACGACAAACTACATGTGTTAAAATACACACATGTATTTGATGTATATTTGACAGCTGCGTCAGTGCAATCTATCGGTCGAAGTGTAAACTTGTCATTGTTAAATGTCAAATAAACATGTCAGAATAGAAATGTCACAACGAGTATTTTGTGTATGTTAACACATTAGCACGCGGTTTTCAAGTTAAACACATGAAATAGAAGTTTTTTCTAAATATTTAATTGTTTACCGGTGTTTCATACACGAAAAATGGCAAATAAAATATTACTAAAACATAAAGGTGATGTTGGTGACTTTTACGAGCCATCCGATTCCGAGAATGAATACACGGAACGTGAAAAAAATTTGTTAAAAAAAGTGCGTAAAGGGCGACAGCGGAACACCGATGCACAGCAAGAAATTTTGGCATTTAAACCACAAGAAGATAGTGATGAAGAGCAAGGTTGGTACAAGAAGAAAAATAGCGAAAATGCTTAATGTTCAAAATTAAAATGATTCATGTGTCGTTATTATTTTCAGACTACGACGACGATGATGATGATTTGAATGAAAATTTTGGTGCAGAGAGTGACATAGAGGATGGTGACGATGACGATGAAATTCCCGATGTTCATGCCTGGGGTAAAAATCGTCGTGTCTACCATTCAACCGACTTTGTCGACCCCGACTATTCGAGCTTTAATCAACGCGAACAAGAGCTTGCTGAACAAGAAGAAACTGAAGCACTTGCCATTCAACAGCGTCTCGCTAAGCAATTGGAAGAATCCGATTTCACGTTGGATGTTTTTGGTACGACCGAGCCAAAAGAGAGCGACGACAAGAAAAAGAAATCCGATGAAATATACTTGCAAAAAGATTTATCACAATTGTCGCAACGACAAAGAGAGCAACTATTTAAAAAGGAATCGCCCGAATTTGAGGGTTTAGTGCAAGATTTTCGGCAACGACTTGCCGAAAGTATAAAATTGTTGGAGCCACTTTTAGCGTATTTCAAAGAGAATTCCATTGAAAGTCATCCGTTGATTGAATTTATCACAAATCAAAATCAATTAATATTGAATTATTGCACGAATGTTAGTTTCTATTTGATTTTAAAAGCAAAACGTATTCCCGTTCAAAATCATCCAATTGTGAAGCGATTGTTCAAAATAAGACAGTTACTTTTGCAAATCGATGAAAAATACACAACAGTTGTGAAACCACAATTAGAACAGATTCAACAGGCCATTAAAGATGGAGTTGAATTTAACATCGGTATGGATGAAGTACCAGCCGAGAAGAAAGAGAAAAAGAAACTTCGATTTGTACAAGATCTTGAGAATGGTAACGATTCGGATAGTGAGATGGAGTCGGATGATGAGGAACCAATTGAAAAGGATGACGATTTGGATTTCAAACAAAAATTAAAGTTGATGGAATCGGATTCGGAAGGAGAGAAGGGAGAAGAGGATGAAAACAACGAAGACATGGACGGAGAAGATGAAGAACGGCGACAAATTACATACCAAATTGCCAAAAACAAAGGTCTCACGCCATATCGAAAGAAAGAATTACGAAATCCACGTGTCAAACATCGCAACAAGTTCCGAAAAGCGCTTATTCGACGCAAGGGTGCTCATCGTACACCGCGCAAGGAAATCAAACGATACGACGGAGAGAAATTTGGTATATCGGCTCGTGTCAAGAAGGGCATCAAAATCAAATAAAACTATTGTATATTTAGTTTTTTGTTTAATATTTTTTATGCATTTTCAACGCATTTCGATTTATTGTTTTTTAATAAATTTCGTATCGATTTATTAATGAAGATATTGGCTGGTGTTACTTTTTATTTAATAATTGACGGAAGTAATCGTTTGATTTTGATGTAGTTGGCTCAGTTCCAGTGGTTCCATTTGATGAAGTTGATGGCTTCGCGACATTACGTTGCACTGACGTTGGAATAAAGGTAAGGCGCGGCTTAGCATCACTGTTTACCAAAATAGAAGAAATTAGTTTGAAAATGGAATGGTGAGTAAGTAAATATTGAAAAAATAGAATCTAACCTTCTTGGCCCTCTTAAACTTGGTAAAGTATTTGAATTGAAATTCATTGGTCGTGCGTTATCTGTAGATTTTGGTGGTGGATCGGATATGGCTACAATGATCTGTAATAGGAAAATTATAATTTCATTAATAATTCCGAACTATTTGTAGACCAAAAAAGATCTATTCTTACCGTAAAACCTCTCAAGTCGAACGAATTCATAGTTTCGACGGCTTTGTTGGCGGCCGTGTCTGATTCAAAGTCGATGAAAGCAATACCTTTGAATTTACCATCTCTGTAAAATGAAAAAAAGAAAGGAAAAATGAATGATATTACGTCAAAATAGAGAAGTGTTCCAAATGTCAGACTTACTTTTTAGTAACCAATCGAGTGTCTTTAATTTTTCCAAAAGTGCCAAAGAGAATTTGTAATTCGTCTTGAGTAGTATTGAATGGTAGGCCCTTGATGAAGATTTTATTCGATTCTTTTCCTTCAGAGTATTTAAATGTGCTGCGTATGTTTTTGTCGCGCAAAACCTTTTTAATGAATACCGGACGGCCACCGATGGGGCGGCGATCAAATTTGATTGCTTTTTCCACTTCCGATGGATTTCCGAGCTCAGCATATCCATAACCTTTGCTACGACCACCAGGTCCAATCACCATAGTAACATCCTTGATATTCAATTCTGGGAAAGCAGCAATGATCTGCTCTTTGGAGATATCAAATGCCAAGTTACTCAAGAAAATCGACACATCATCCTTTTCACCGAAGTCTGGCTTGTTCTCTTGCCTAGGGTTAATCACAAAGAAAAGAATGGAAATAATGGAAATTAATCAATATGTAATGGAACGTAATTCTTCAATAATGGAATAGTAATTTTTAAAGTAAGTATACCCCATCTCTTGCTGTTTGATCTCTGGTTGTTTGGGTTCTGGTTTTTTGACCTCCACTTTTTTAACTGGTTTTGGTGCTCTGTCATCGAATGTTTTCTGTTTCTTTTGGACAACCTTTGAGTCATTCTCCGTTTCTGGTTTACGTTTTTGCACCTTTGCCTTGATGGCATAGTGTTTATTGTAATTTTCAATAATTTTCGCACACATTTCATTGCAATCGCAGATTTGATCCAATGTACCGTATGCGTATTCAAAAATTTTCCATGCTGACATCACGGCGTCAAAATCATCGATATTCTTAACTTTGATGGCTCGACGGTAAATTCTGAAAATACATACATACATTTTAATAGAGAATTCGTTTACAGTCATTAAAAAAAAATTGTATTACTTTCGTGCGGCATCAACGCCTCTATTCAATTCCAAATGAGCAAAGTCAATCCACAAAGTTGCTTTATTTTGATTTAAGTTATTCTTTATGGCTAAGTCATAATATTGAAAGCCTTTATCGCCATTTTTCAATGCTCCATATTCGATGCGAGCGCAAAGTTGATCAAATTCATTGTGTGCGTCGGCTTCTCGCGTGGCCAATGAGTTCTGGCCCAATTCCATCGTTTTTCGTAAAATTTCCACTTCTTTTTCATCGGTGACATTTGTATTTCGATTGATGAATGATAAATATTCCATCCATACATTCAAATGACCTTTGACATCATTATTTGTTGCTTCGAATGCTTGTTGTGCAATTTCAGTGACATCACTCTTTGCGATGCCTGCTTTCTCCGACAATCGCATCTTTTCGACGTACAATTCAGCACTCCATGTGCAATTGCGCAATGCACGAGTCAGAACATCCAATGCTGTTTGTTTGAAAATCAGAGATTTTTCACTTACATCCGGAACAGTCTCACGATTTTTGAGATATTTCACATATTTGATCCAAGTTGAAGCTATAATAAACCGTTTTTTTTTCATTAAAATTTATCAATAATATTACAATTTTTATGCAAAAACTCAAAAGCTTACCACTCAAACAACATGCAGTAACCATTCGCTCGTACAGAATCTGAACCATGCGATCACTCTTAAAACTTTTACACTTGTCAATATAATCCAAATAGATCGATGCTCTTTTATGGTGTTCTTTATCATCTAGATCCACCAATTGTTGTTCGAATGTGAGAATTTCATACAAATTATCCTTCGATTTGTGGTATGTCTCGTTGATTTTTTCCCATTCCACTTCCTCGTTGTATTTGTCAACAAATTCACAAAATTCCGCATATGCTTCTTGTATACCGGCCAATGGTATTGACAATTCGTATGTGAACACTTCCAGTAATTTCTTCACTTTTTCGGGTGACCTAAAATCGTACAAAGGGTATTATAACGATGAAATAATAAAAGAAATATCCAATAAATTATACTCACTCTGGCACATGTTTGATGTAGTAATTTCGCCAATCTTTAAAAAATGTACTACCTTCCATGCAATCCAAAGTATATGTAGCAAGTATTTCATCCCATGTTTCCTGTGGATTCAACATTTTCACCGCCAATTGTGCGTGCAGACCACCAACTGTGACAGCTAAAAAGAGATATTCAACAACATTATTCCAACGAAAAAATTATTTTGAAAATTAAATTAAAAAAAAAAAAATGAGGTCATCTTACAAAAGTAATCGCCGAGAGCCCGTTTAAATAGACCTTCTACGCGTTTCAGCTCATTTTCACTGGTTGCTATGGTCAATTCAATTTGTAGCCATTTCGTCCAAATCTCTGGTGCCAACGGGAATTGTGTGCTGAACAGCTCGCTACTTTCACGTATTTTATCCAAATCGTTAAGTTGACTGAAATTGACAATTAAATTTTAATATTTTTTTTTGTTTATATTTTTCATTATATCTGAAAAACTTACTGTGCCACCGTGACCAATTCAACGTAATAGTCGTAAACGTAGCTTGCGGTCGAGATTTGACTTAGAATTTTGGCATAGTTTTCATACAGCTGCACTTCTGCGTCGATGTCTGAATCACCGCTGTCCGGTGATAAATCTTCATCTACTTCGTCCGTGTCTTGATCATCAACATCCATTTCTTGGTCGCTTAGATCTTCCTGATCGGACATTCTCACTTTTTTTTTTAAATGTATAAAATCAAATGAAATACACCAAACGATTCTAAATCGTTTATTTTGACAAGAAACTTGCCGGAGTTATAAATACTATGCAATACATGCGCTTGTATGTTTTGACATTAGAAAAGATACTAGCGCCAATTTTACACTAGGTGGTGAGAAATGACATTGCAACGTCGAATTGGAATTCAATTTGAATTGGGAGTTTGATTTTATTGTTTAAGAAAATTACACATATTGTTCTCGTATGAAGTAAAATAAACTCGAATTATTGGAAAAATGATTGAAAAACTGTAAAAAAGATTAGGGAATCAATCGAACATGTTTAAAGTGAATAACAAAACGATACATAGAAATCTGTTTTGTTTACTCTCGACAAGGTAAAGTTGACTATATTTTTGCATATTTGACTTATTTTCAGTTTCAATTCAATCAATTCACATGTTGAATAAAAGAATCACCTAAATTATGCATCAATAGTCGCAGTACATTCTCACCTAAAAGAGACTACAAAATGATACTTTATGTCATTGATGCGATTCCGTTAGCAAGGCATGTTAAAATGTATGAATTTATAAAAAATTGAAATGCATTTGAATATTGAATAAAATACTATATCGATTGAGCAAATTGCAAAGTATGTTACTAAAACCATCAAATTATTCATAACTCACCGCCTACAACATAATTCAATAAACGTTGATTGCGTTACGCGTGTCAATAGCAATGAGACCAGCAACTTCGAACTACTGTGACAATAATTCAAATTTTGTTTGTGATATTGCAGAAGTTTAAGCGTTTCATCAGAAAACTATCACATCACTTCATTCGAAAATGGAACGAAGCGCAAGAAATGGAAAAAAAACCATCCAATAAAACTGTAAAGAATCCACAAAACTCTGTATATTTTATTATGCATAAATGTATGGACGGGAATAGCATTTAAGTGACATGAACACCGCATATTGGATTCAACAAAAGCTATGCCTATATAATGCTAAATATCTGATGATGACTGAGCGTTGATTGTGTCGCCGCACTTCGTGCTTTCATTCACACATTTGCCGAGTCGATTGGTCACACACAGTTCAGTGTGTATTCCATAGTGCACATCGCTTAATATAAACAGTCGCTCAGTGAACGTTATGGGTGTAAGATGTAGTGCGGCGCGCTTAAAACATTTTAGTTAGAGTTTTTTTTATTTAAAAATTATTTTCGTTCAGTTAATCGTTTGATGGATTTTACTTTTACGATACATAAAATTTATTATCATACTCTGATTTCTACACTTAAATAATTTTTGACACGCAAAAAGTACGATTAATTATACATCATTTGAAAGTTTTTTTTTGTATTTAAATAATTATGACATATTGACTTTGAGTATTTTCCTGACATTAAATTCGTAATAAACGCTTAACTTAATTTCCGATAATAATTCTCGACGCATGAGATCAATTGGAAAGAGAAAAAAAAAGACAAATCTTTACAGCGTGAAGCAAAACATGCATTTCCTTTTCGTCAGAAAGTGATTTTTATCTCGGCTGTCAGTTGAAAGTGATCAACACATGAAATATTTTTCTACCAAAAGCTATCTTACCAAGAAAACAAACATTTCAAAAATATGGCACGGAAATTTCCAATTTAAAACGAAGGAGTAAAATGTTTGATTGAAAACGCCCGATAAATTAATTATACAATTAGGCAATTTTTCAGATTATTATTGAAATACTTTACACATTGATTAAAGGCATACGCCAATCTCGTGGTTGTAGCCACGGTAGCTCAATTATACATAATTGCTTGTAGCGTTGAATCTAGATTAAAACGATTACGTAGATTGATTGCGTCTGGTGAGGCGAAGATCAAATTGCATTTTCCTGTGTGTATCGATGCCATGTGTGGGTGTTTGAAAATGTTCAAAAATGCAAAAAGAAATCATAAATTGATAGGCGACAAAATCAATTTTATTTATAAATAAAGTAAGATTTTTTTCAAGTTGTTTTTGTACAGTTCATTCGTCAACACGCCGTATCAATTCGCGAATACTGATCACATGCGATAAAAATGGTTGTGGGGAAAGTAAGCGTTTGTGAAATGGAGCTATTTTTATTATGTGTGTATTTCGGTTGTTTGATGTAAGATGTAAGTTTTTCATCATGTTTTGTATTCGTATATTCGCGCATTTAGTCTGATGACATGAATAAAAAAAGAAATACTGGGCAATTTAATGAGTGAACGGGTCGAAGAGTCGTATAAAATACAATTTTAATGGCATTTTGCTTCTGAATGTTTTGCATATGAATCAGTTGTAACGTCTGCTCAGAATAGCGTATGAGATCAATGTTTTGATAGCACTATTAAACACACATACAAAAATGAAAAATTCCATTTCTTTGTGTCACTTAATGCTAGGCAGTTGACTCAATCTGAAACATAAAAAAAAATTGTCAACCAAATTTCCTCTCGATCTCACATTGTAAAGTGCAATTTAAATGTAGCAACTGACAAATACACTAACATATCAATGACAAAAATAAAAAAAAATTTAAGTGTCAATAAAAACAAAACGAAATAGAATTACGATTTATAACATAAGTGAGAACATAAAATTCTATTGGGTCTAGTGCATTTTAGATCAATGAAAAATTGAGCTGTGCGTTAACGCCAGACAGCATTGGAACAACCGATATTCAATGTTTAACGAATGGTGAGCGAGAGTAAAAAAACACACGGTCAAAAAGAGCAAGTAAATAGAAACGTAGTGAAATAGGCAATAACAGCGATCAAAGAAACCCATAAAATCGCCCGATCTTAAGAAAACGAACACTTTGCCTCTAATTGGAATCAATAATAATCACATAGTATGGCGACAAGCAACAGTCTTTGAGTTAAAAACATCGTACAGAATAATAATGTAATCAGAATCACTTCAAATCGATTCAATGGACACTTAACGCACACGAAACAAGAAAAAAAATTATTGCACACCAAAAAATCAAATAAAAAAAAGACCAATGAGTAAACAACATCTATATATACAATCATCAACTAACGCACATAATAATAATCGTTAATTCTATGCATGCAATTTGAGAGCGACACACACCACCACCGGCAACAACAACATCTACACGGACAGTGAGATTGTGGTGCGCAAACGTCAATTTTGTATGCTAAATAATACGCGGTCGCAATCGAAATTTATTATATTATCTTGTAGTGAATACGATCAAGTTGCCATTTATATGCGCAACCGGCACAAAATTTACATCGAAACACTTTATTGAGCGAGAGAAAGGAGTGAAAAAGAGAGAGAAAGACTCAATGCCTGTAATGCCGCTCAAAACGAATTGACGAGCAGAAGTGTGTGGCAAAGGAATATATACAGTCAACTTGGTGTGAAACTGATCATTAATAAAAATTAAGCAGTTAATTTCTCTGGTCGGTGGAATATTTTGTATGTAAATTGCATCTATAAACATCGTTAAGTGAATTGCGAATGATAAATAAATCGGAACGCACTAAATAAAATCAAATATAAAAAAAACAGTGAATAGAGAAAAAGAGAATGAGTGGCAGTACAGTATCCAGTGTGGTGTATTTATTTTCTTTTTGGTGTCCGGATCTTTTTTTGTTATCGCAAACCACATCAAACATTCTTTCGCATCGCAAGATGTGCACATGAAATGGATTCATATGGTGTGAAATTGACTTTTTAAAATCGGTCGGATGCTCATCAACCGTCATATGTATCAAGTGATGGTTTGTGAAATATGATGTTTTTTATGGTCCTGTCATTCATAAACATCACAACTTTTTTTCGTTATTGAGTTCAAGAGGCAATCAAACTACTTGGCAGTGAAGAGGTCGATTTCGTTTTGCAATTCGAGATTCTTGATGTGAATCTTCATTTTTTTTTGGAAACTAAAATATAAAAAAAAGTGTTTAAATATGATGTGGATAAATCGTTCAAACTTGAAAATGGTTGTGCTCAAATTTCAATTGCTCATTGTGTGTTACTTAATCAACGGCCATTATGCATATAGAGATTATCAATTGGATGATGATGCAAATGATAATCAGCACGAGTCAAACTCAAATTCCAGCCAAATTAATTCCAACCAACCACCGGGTAAGTCACATTTGTTCAAAATCTAAATTCAATATTCCAAAACAATAAGTACATAAAAATTGAATAAAACCACATAAGATTATCGCAATTGGTAAAATTGCTTCCACCAAAGTTGTGTCCCAATTGTAAATGTGCATTTAAAATTAAATCAATGTAAAATTCAAAAGTGTCATGCATCCCATATATCGGCTTATAAAAAAAATGATTGATGAATAATAGCCGATAATTTTGCGGCACATATTTTATCGACTATCGTTTTCCCACTTGTGATAGTCTCTTTCCATTTATGGTGCTCCAGCAAAACCGTCCCGACAGTTCAAATATAAAGCGAAAATGACCATCGTTACTGAATGGTTGATACATTTTTAATATGCTTCCGTTTGCCGCATAAGTTGTTTGAAACCGAAACATGTCGTCTATTCCATTTCGTCAATTTTACTGTCACCAGAATCTTTTATCACATTGTGATAGCGTGCATTTTTCTTTAAACGAACAATTAAAATGACTCACATATATCTGTAATTTCGGTTGTTAGTTTGATGTAAGCGTAAATTGCGGTCACCGTGCAGTTCACTTCGAAATCGGTGTATCATTTTAACTGCGTTTTATCGGTGAGGGGGGGAACGGAAATCGATAGACAATAAGTGGATGAATTGACATAAATACCTATTTAAATAAAAAGGTAAATTATTACTTATGACAAAGGTAGTATGACCAATTTAAACTATGCGGTGCGATGAAAGGAACCCGATGCGCTGGTTTTGGTTGTAGAGGACACAAATGAATATTTAAAAAAAAACGGAACCAAAATCGATTGCAGCAATTATTCTTTATTAAACGGGTTCACATAATTGTTGAATTTAGTGAAATGTATGGCACATAGAATACATCACCGGGGTCTACTTTGAAATTCACTGTGTCATTGTTTGCATATAATAGATATGGTATCGTGCGGAATATTCATAACATAATAAGTTGTAAAAAATTTAAGATGAACGCATGAATTAATGACAAAAACATAATGGGCTTGGGAAATACAATGGCTCGCAGTGGACGATAATGGCAGATGACACAGTTTTATTTCAAAAGAAACATTCTAAATGAATAAATATTATTGAAAATGTTCTACAATGAATGTTTTTTTTTTCGACGTTTTATCGAAGCAACTTGTCAGTTCAGCATTGAATGCAGCATAACGATGTGCATCCCGTTTCAACGCAATGCACGAAACAAAACAAAACGAAAATGCCCTCATACCCTCAATTATTATCAATAAAAATTGTCTGGATGGACATTGTTTTACGTATCACAAATTAACTGACGTTGCGAATGCGTATATTTCTGAAAGGGATCATTTCTTTTTAAGCATGAAAGATGTGCATGTAATAGAATCATTTTTTAGAGTTTGATTCTTAAATGCACATAAATTGCTGCAAATTTGTGCTTCAAAAGAATGTTGTAGCTTTAGTTTATCGTTTGATTTCAATTGAATCCAATTAATGAATCTCATGAGACTACACTGTCTGGTGCAAGTATAACAACAAATGGTGTATGTATTTTATTGACAAGAATCGTTGATGATGTTTGTTTTCCATTTTTTTTTGCGGTATGCATTTCCGATCATCAAAGTCTATTACTCCATAGTCATGTCTTAAAATGGATTTCCGTCCTTTTAGTCTTTGCGCAATGAATTTAAATCGGTGTTGCTCTTCCGATTTTGAAATTTCAACTAAATCGACACACTTGACGCATTGAATACGGCAAAAGGCAAACATTCAAGATTTGAGCAAACAAAGACTCGATGTCGACGAAGAGGAATTCAATCGTAAATCCATGATCCGAAGTGAAAAATTCGAAAAAATATAAATGAGCAAATGTCAAATTAATGCCACTTAATAATATTCGTCACGTAGCAGCGGTCGTTTACCACATCATTGAATAATTATTTATACAAATTTATGCATTTAGAAGAACCAACGACCAAAACGAGAATAGACTGAAGTGGAAAGAGCGAGAGAAAGAGAAAAAAATGTAAACTGTTTGTGAATTGAACATTCACTTGAAGATGAAAAAAGAAATATACATTTTACATCGTACAAAAATACTAAACAAAATTATTATTGTCAAATTGGTCGTTTTAATAAACACAACACGAACGCACGGAGAAAAAAAGCAGTCACTTGTAAAATTAAGACCACAATATTGTTGATGGTGGATAAAAAGAAAGACAAAAAAGGCAAATTGAACCAACGACAGCGAGAAGAATAAAGATGAATACATAAAGCAGATATTGTAAGGCGGGGGACTCGCACTCTCAACGGAATAATAAGAGAATCACGCACAATCGATGGATTGTGTGTTTGATTGTTATCAGCGCAAGCAGTTTGTGAACATGACGCTAAAAATGATGCTCAAGTAATTTGACTCGTAATAAAATGAAAAATGATCGAAGACGATGTGGCAAAGGCCACACTCATATGCAACACATGTTGTTATGACTCTTTTTTTGCGATTTGTCGTTAAATTTATAGTAAACATTTATTGTGTAACTGTTTCTAAATCGCTTGAAACAAGAAAATGACCGGTCGGCGGGCGATCGATACTTATGCTTGGCCAAGTAACGTTTTAAGTATGTATCATATTTCTTCCGTAGAGAAAAATGCAAAAGATCAAATGTGATTGGTTTTTTATTTCTGTTTAAAACTGTGTGAAATTCGATACGAATTTTCTTCAATCAACAAGATTATTAGCGGTGATTTTGGTGACAAAATATCAAAATTTTGCTCATAAAATTGTGAATTCACAGCCGATCGTTCGTTATATCGTCAGTTTATTGATCTTTTTACTAGATTTTTTTGTTGTTGCTTAAAGAATACCTTTTTACACACATTTCTGCTTTGAAATGAATAAACTTGAAATTTTGCGTAATATTCGAAAAAACCACATCCATTTGAGCGCTGGCAAAACTAAAAACGCCACATTGATTCATGTGTGCCTTTGAAGTTACACTGTAATATGTAATTATGGCTGAGAATCTTTGGTCGCTTTGAAGTCTTTGCCAATTTTATCCATTGTAGATATACTTGAAAACGGAAAAGCAAACACATTTTTTACGTGTTGTTTATCGCATGTGATTGCGTCCAGCAATCGGAATGGGAACATTCGTTTTGCTGTCATCATTTGACAAGATGTTGATCAAAGCAACGGTGGAAAAACAAACATTAATTATATTTGTATTTTGATCCTGTTGTCATCTGCTGTGACAGTGTTTGTTTGAAATGACTTCACTAATTTGATTCTTTCGAAACATGAGAATTGTTTGATTTGTAACGATTTGTATGGTGGTGTGTTTTTAAAGACAATGTTTGTTTTTAAACGTGAAAAAAACATGTCTATATGAAAATAAATAGAGAACTAATCTTTAAATATTTGAAGAAACGCGCCGTGCCGATGACAGATGCCAATGCAGGCATAAATGATACATTTATCCAGGAAAACGACTAAATCGCATCATTTCAATAGTCTATTCACATTCACATAGACATTTCAAAAATAGCTCGAGCGAATTAGTCGAGCATTAGAGAGTCATTGGAAGTCATTAAAATGCAAATTCAAAAGGAATTGTTTAAATGTGTTTGATCTTTTAGTTACTTTAAATGATGAAAAGTGCATGCGTGTGTATTTTCAATGATCGTAGAAGATGTTTCATGATCGTAACAGACGGGAATAATCATTCAAATGGACATTTCTTTTCCTATTTTCCACTCTAATTTTAGCGACACTTTTAATTCGCTCATTGCTCGCATTCATTTTTTTTTCGCGAAACCAACAACATTTTTCGTGTTTTTTCTTTCGCTTTTCACGCGACGATAAATCACTGCCATCGAGAGTAACCAGTTGGAAGAATTGAGACACATGGAACCAATATATCTTAGTTGCTCCGCAGAATTCCTTTTCGCAAAGAGAAAAAAAAAATCTTCGCAATTAATATGAGAAAAACGTGTAATACCAAGTGATTGAGAGTGACAAGCGCGTGCGTCGTGCCATTTTCAATCTCCACGTTGAAAATTCAGCCGCAAGCCAATGTTGTTGCTGTTAATGTCGTCGTTGTTCTGGTTTTTTCTTCTATTTTAAAAATGGAATCACAACACAAATGCCACAAATGCGCGGTGATGCACATTGAAAAGCATTTTATTTGCAAGTGCATCGATAACGCCACACAACACATGCTCATAAATCCTTTGAGTATATCGCAAACAGATTTTACTGAAATTTTTGCATAATCTCGACATATACGTAAATCAAGTCATTGCCTTTCAGTGAATTTTTGTTTTTTCAAAAAACTACTCCACTTTTCATCGTTTTTGGTGCAAAAACTACAGTTTTATTCGAAGCAATCAAGTTTCAAAACATTTCTAATTATACATACTTTGAAACTGAAACAATTTTGATTTGTCATGTCTAAATCCACACCTTTTTTTAATTTTATTTCCTTTCAGATCTGTTCAGCTGTTGTAGCATTTCATTTGGATCGTGTCGTTCGTCTTGCGAAAATGTAAGTTATTTTTGAACAGTCGATATAGCGTCTACGGTAATTAACGACGAGATTATTTTATGCGGAACTAGCATTTTTTGTTCGTTTGATTTTTTCATACGTATTTATTGGAAATAAAAAAAAAAAATGATGGAAACGTTTTCTGAACCAAAACAAAACCACATTTTAGAAGGCCAAACCTTGTCAATCATTCGTGCCTCTCTTGTTCACATGTGTTCGGTTTTTTGTTTCGTCAAAGCAAATCGCACTTCTGTCAATATCACTTTTCGGTTTGAGTATTTGGATTTTGAGCAAAGAGGTTTCCTGAAAACCTCATCTGGAATAGGATAAACACTTATTGCTCGCTGCTTGTCTTTTTTCAAATAGTTTTCTTTTATTACTTGTCTTCCTTTGTAACGCAGATGGAGAAAAAAGTATCAAATTGCAGGACTGCGCTTTTTGTTCACAGCAACAAATTGTCAAAGCATTATAGTGAATTGGAAATTATTGAAAGACAGTAAAAAAACAATAAATCGAGAAATGGTGTGTGAACAATATTTGCATTGTTCCCATAATTGCATTCAATGGTTTATTGTCACAACAAAAGTCGATCGAAATCGATTGATAGTTGATACGATCTTATATTCCAAAGATAATATCGATCGATTCTTCTTTGTGTGGTTTGGAGCACAATAAGTAACCTGACTAATTCATTCAGTTTTGGTTCTAGATTCCATTTCCTTTTAGTAATTTCGGAGAATGAATTTTTCGTCGATTCTCGTCGCTGAATATCAGTTCATTGAATGACTTCATTCATTTTTTTTTCTTTCGTATTTTTTTCAAATACAAGTTAATAAGATAAGACGCGTACACATTTTAAAACGAACAAAAATGGGCATAAATTCAAATATATTTGTAATGAATCATTTCAGTTATCTTTGGTGCAATTAGCGTCGGCAAGTCTTATTGGAAAAGATACCAAATTATCGGATTTACGCCGTAATTGTCCATCAATTCAAACTGATTTTTGGCACTGCATGAACCAAACTTTACATGGTAATTTTTTGTTTAATTTGATTTGTGACTGTAAATAAGTTTGATCAAGTTGTTAATGATAATTTTGTGGCGATATTTTTACAGCTGTGAATCGTGGTGAATCGTGGTCGGGTAGATTATGTTGTAAACATGCAATAACAGTGAATTGTGAAAATACATGCGCCACATCGATGAGCATTCAAGATACATTATCTAGTTGCCGGCGAAGTGATGAGCAAACATTGTTCGATTGCTTTGAACGTCAAGAGGTCGGCGACAATTGCTGTGGAAATGCAAGAACATCAGAATGTTTACAAGTAAGTAATAGAAACATTTATCTCTTTCTTTTAAAATGTTGATCATTGAACGAATATTGTATTTTTTCGAAGGCATGTCGTGACATATTTCAAAGTGAAAAATCGGCCACAAAAGAACAACGACAGTTGGTAGAACATGCTTGTAATGACAATAATACCAATTTGAAGGTGTTGAACTGCGTGAGAGAAATTATGGATGTGACACCGGTAGAAAATCCCAAGCAATGTAAGTGATCATAAAATTCGGGGGAAACCAAAATGAAAATTCTTTTTCATATCTAGATATGCCTTGCTGTGGCCATTCTCGATCGCCAATTTGTCGCGAGACATGCAAACAAATTTTGGAAATCGGTGAAACAATGCAGGAAATCATCGATACACTCTCAAAGGGTGGATGTGGGCCGCCGTTACCACATTACGAACCATTGTGGCAATGTTTTCTATCCGGCAATCATCATTCATCGCATTCACCTTCACCGGATGGTGCATTGGTATCACAGATCAATCAAATTGGTATCGATTCGGCAAAATTGCATTGTTGCAACAAAGCATTATCGCCAAAGTGTCGTCGTCTTTGCTCTCAAACATTTTCAAATGATTGGACGGAAACGAGGAGTGATTTTGATATGGACTGTTATTCCGAGTGGAGTGAATTTTCGCTAAGGCAATGCTTGGACGAAGGTAAGCACTTTGAAGAGAAAAAAATATAATCAAATGAATTTCTATTGATTCACATTATTTTACAGTTGATGAGCCATGCGAACTTGGCTGCGATTCACTTTCATACTGCACAAATTTCAACAATCGCCCCACCGAATTATTTCGAAGTTGTAATTCGAATGCCGATGCTGCGGCTCAAGGTAATACAGTACTGTGGCGAGATAATCAAGCATTAACATTGCCCGGTCTGATTTTGCCAATCAAAGACATCGAAAAATGTGAACCAGAAGCATGGCGTGCCATTGCGTGCATGCTCCAAATTAAACCATGCTCACGAACAAAACATACAACACAAATTTGTCGTGAAGATTGTTACAATTTGCTTACGAAATGCATCGATTGGACACGAATGGAAACGCGACACACGCCCGAATCAGTTTGTGCAAAATTCTCAGTTGATTCGGAAAATACATCGTCTTCGCCGTGCATTTCAATAAAACCATATTTGGAACCAAGCGATTCACCGCAGAATGGTTGGCCGGCAAATCATCAAATCATTTTACCTTGTCGCGGTCATTCGTGCAATGCGACCGAAGTGTGTATATCAGATAATAAGAGAGATCATCATAGCATATCGGCATCGACACCGTTTCGTTGTGTTCCTGGTTGTCCATTGGGCGAAACATCATCGTACCTGGTTCCAGTTGGTTCATATGCACGCATTCCGGTATCAATGAAGCACAAAGGATGTTTCAAAGTGTGTCGTTGTATGGCCAATGGTAGATTGGAAGATTGTCAGGCAATGCCGTGTATGTCATATGATTCATGTAAATCGGGCGATCGACAAATTGAACATGGCCAATTCAATGTGGAGTGTAACATTTGCAGCTGTTTCGCTGGAGACATAACGTGCACAAAAAAGCAATGTCGCGTTCTTGGCATTTCTGAATACACAAGTTTGCCATGTAACTGTGCGCCACATCATGTTCCAGTTTGTGGACGAAACGGTTATACATATCCATCGGAATGTGTATCAAAATGTGCCGGTTTGCAAGTGGCCGATATCGAATTTCGAGCATGTAGGGATAGTAATCCGTGTCGTGATGCAAAATGTCCCGCATACTCACAATGCATTGAAAGCAGACAAGTCTGTTTATCGGTGATGCATCGACCATGCCGCCAATATCAGTGTAGTAAGTATTTTCTATTATGTATGTATATATTTTTTTTGTTGTTCATGAAACATAATTCTCCGTTAATTTTTCCAGTTAATGTCACTTCAAATTGTCGAAATGGTGATAAACCTGTGTGCAGTGTCGAAGGTCAAACATATGCGTCGATGATTCACTTGGTGAAAGCAAAGGCGACGCTCGCATATACAGGAAGATGCCTTGATAGCTGTCGTAAAGTGCCAGTTTGCGGAATAAACGGTGTCAGCTATAGAAGTGAATGCGAAGCATGGAGCGGTTAGTTTCTATTAATTTTTTTCTCTCTCTTTTAAAATTTCAAACAAAAACAAATCAATTTCAGATTACGTTGTAGCCGACTATGAGGGTGAATGTAGAGAAATTGGCCTTCTTACAAATACATTGGGCCCCCGATGTGCCTCGGTTAGATGTAACTTCAATATGAAATGTGCCGAAGGCGCAATCATTCCGCCTGGATCGTGTTGTCCCGTATGCGGTGGCGCTGTACGAATCATCTATTCTCGAAAGCAAATAGATCGAGCACTGATCGCATTAAAAGGAAAAAATACTGATATGCTTTCGTTAAAAGGCATTTTACGGGCATTGGATAATCTTATTCAAGTCGTCCATTGTCGAATCAGCGGCTATTTAACGATTGAAGCAGACATTTTTGTCATCGTTCACACCACACCCGGAGCGAATTTATCTCAATTACAACATGAGGCATGTATTCGAGAGGCCGAAAAAATAGCCACATTAATCGATACTCAGAGTCATCGCATCACAAGCGATCTTGCATTAAGCTCATTAACTGTGGCCAATGTTGTACGACCAGAAGATTTAGACTTACAATTTAATTCGGCTAGCACATGTTATCCATACATTACTATTTTACTTGTATCGATAGTCATTAATAGAATTTACTTAATTTAAAAAATGTCATAATTTGTAGCTAAAACTTAATTTCGTACCAAAATGTGCCAAAAACAATTTTAAAAAAATATCGTCAAATTTCTAGTTTGCTAGGAAAAAAATACGTGAATTCAAAGTGTCAATATCAAGTAGTTTCGTCGAAGTATCATCGCGCATTTTATAGAAAAAACAAATACATTGCGAGATCTTCGGAATTTATATGTTTGTTAGGTTTGTTCAAGTTAGCATAAATTTTTATCGATATTTAAACTTTTATAGTTAAGTATATAATGACAGTGTACCATACCTGTGATAAATAAGCTAAATATTCATTTTATATCGATGAATAGCGTCTCTTTTAGATAGTGTTTGATGTTTACCCCAAAGATATTGTGTGCATGTGCATTTCCTTTCCAGAAAAAACTAACAATTGAAAATGACAAATGATTTGGCGAATCTTAATTTTAGAAAAACCGTATCATTCACAATTTTATTGGAAACAATTCTTTAAAAATAAAAGTCTTTTTTGAAACATTGTCAATTAATTTCATCCGTAGGTTCAGTCATTGGGTTGTAGGCAATCGGTTTCGAACATCCTTTGTTACTGGTGATTCGGTATTGTTCTTCATTGCTAACATATTGCTGGCCCTTTGTTTCAACATTTGAAAGCCTGTTGCCATCGGTGGTGTTTGTGCTTTGTTTCGTTGAGTCGGCGCCACAATTGATGTCTTCGGTGCGCTCTGAAATACAATAAAAATTCTTGATTCGATTTAAATTAACAGTGAATATTCTTCGGTGAATGTCATATAATTCTTTACTTTTGGATGACTACTTGTATCGTTGACATTTTCACGTGGTGGCGAATCCATAATTTCAATGACAGTTTCACGTGTCTCGTTGCCCAAAATTCGCTTAAATTCACGTGAAATTTCTTCCAGTTTTTGTTTCCGTTTCCTGGATAAATTCACTTCTTTGCTCAGCTTCAATTGCATATCGGCCACCAATTTGACCTCTTTCTTCAAATTTATAATTGATTGAGCGTCTTTTTCGCTTGGTTCCAGTTCTTCGTGAAGTGTCAACACATCTAACGTCGATGTCGTCGCTTGTTCCAATGAACGAATCGCCGATCGAAATTTTGTTTCGTGTTGAATCCTTTCGTCAATTGCCTTCACAAAATCTTCATTGCCTTTTTCCATTCGCTTCTTTGATTGTTTCAACACTGCCAATAATCTCGCTTTATCCATCGCTTGAAGTGCAGAAGACATAAATAAATTTCCTAAACAATTTTTGTTTTCAATTTGACACCTTCATTGAGGTTGCTTTATATTTAAAAAAAAAAAAAAACAACAAACAGAAACAGCAGGCACACGACACACAGACTAAATTGAAAGCTTACTATTAGATGGCAGCACGACGCTAAATTTAGTTGTTCAAAATCCCTATTAATAAAATATTTTCAAGTTTGAACACAAAAGTCTTGTTATTCAGACATTAAACATTTAATCACAATAATTTTAGGCACAAACATGAGTACAAATGAATAGAAAAAAATTGGAATTGAAGAAAAATGGAATTGTTTTCAAAATTCAGTTTGAATATGAGTGCGAGTCCAAGCATCGTCTGGATTGGTTGATGTCATCGTCTCTTCATAGAAATCAACTTTATTATTTCCATCGATTAATATTATGGTTCGCGTTCTGCAACAGTATTTAATTAGAATACAATTGATTCGAAATAGAATAAAATACCAATTTCACCTTGTTCCGTAGTTGGCACCGTCATGCCGTACACATATCGAAGATAATTTGTCTGCCCACTTAGACACTCTCCTGTTCAGTACTTCATCTGGCCAATGTTTTTCACGGTCACATAGAAAATTCTTGAGAGAATTTACCAAGTCATCCTTTGATTGATTTTCACGATTAATAATTTCACGAAATTTCTCTCGGCCGGCTTTCACTTTCTCATATGGCTCGTGTGATAAACTATTTCCAAACGCGAGCGGTTCATTGCACGGCCATTCTTGTACAACATTGTTCACATTTGAATAATGTACGGTTCGATTTATCTCCGCTCTGCAAAAAATTAAATTAATAAATACTGTCACATTTGTGGACGATTTGTATACAAAATGTACCCAATTTCAATGGTGATTAAATTGAATGAATTGAATTTTTTGTCTGTATCAATGAGATTTTGACAGTATTCAACATTTGATATTGGATTTTTCACGTAATCCACAACTAAGTTGCCGCGGTGAAGCGCGTTTTCGTCAATTGGTTCACCCGTAATATTTAACAAGGAACCGAATTTGAATGTTTTATCCTTGGTGCCAGTACTTATTGCCAACCATGTACCACCTTCGCGGCCCGGCTCCAAATCACGACCGCCAATAACAAAATCACATTCTTTCCAGCGTTCAGCTACCGAAGCTGGCCGTGCATAGTACTCATCGCGATTAGCAGCCAAAATTAATTTATATTGATCCGCTTTTGGGAATTTATTCAAAATGAAGAATAAAATACACATTGTTTTCCTATTTGAAAAAGAAATAAATGAGAATGGTCATTTTATCAATTAGAAGAGAGAGAGAGAGAGAACACAACGTTTAAACATGTTTAAAATTGTTTCATTTGAACCAAGAATTTATTCACAAAGTCAAATCGCGATTGATTAATTCGACGTATGTACTAAATAGTTTTATTGACGAATTGTCAGCAACTAACCTAAAAGTCACTTCAATGAAAAAAAAACGTTTGTTTATGTTTTTATTGAGTAAAAAATTTGACAGAAAACCTCATATACATTCATAACATTGAACTTATGATTGCAGTACAGCTGCGGCTTTTTGATAATAAATATTGTGAACAAGAAGGAGACAAATATGTGTGTAGCAGAAAGTATTGAGCGAGAGATATGACAATGTCACGGACAACCAAGATGTGGAACAGAAAGAGAACACGATACAAACGAACTGTTCGAATATTTCGTTGTAGTTTTTGGCAATATACAAGTGAGACAGCCATATATACGCGTTCATACGTGGTGCTTGAATTTGAAATTGATAACGGTTAAATGGTTGCTCTTAATCTCGCTGATATCGAAATCAATGAACATTGAAATGGAATGACTCGTTTTCAATTCGATGGGCGTGAAATCATTTGTAACGGTTTAATGCGTACCTTTAGCGTCTATTAATAATGCACAAGTTATCATTCAAATTGAAATAGATATCTAAAACACACGTTTGTGTGTAAAAATATATGCCATTCCATTGTGCACATTGCATGCAATATTGCAATTCCATTTTAAAAATAAGTTGTTGATTCATCAAATCTATTTTTTTTTTGCTGTCAATAAGGAAAAGAACAAGTGGTGAGATCATGTAAGCAAGCAACTGCCTCAAATGCACGCAACAACCAAACACAATCTTCTATATCTGGCCATTGAGTCGATATGCTATCATGCTGTAAACGTAACAAGAAACACACCTTCATTTCACACCATTCTGTACGGTGCTCAAGCGGAATGAACTATAAACAAGAAGAAAGGAAAAACCAGTCGATGAACGAGTTTGTCGAAACAATTTTACTGAAGTGCAAACATCAGTAGCAGCAGCCACAGCACTGCACACAGTAGCCTCTGAATATGGATTTGTTGATGGTGAATGAGTGCCAAATAACTATAGACGCCGAAGGAAATCGATCGACAACGATGTGCGATAATTTGTAATATCATCATGTGTATGTGTGCATGTTGCCGTGTTCCGTGTGCACGAAAAACAAAGTTGCATTTACAAGATGTGTAATAAATATAAAGTAAATGACCCTAAAAAAATATGTAATATGGTTATTTGTCACGCAATCGAGCTTTGTTTATTTATGCGTTCGTTGTGATCTGTTTTGATGCATTGTTCGCGTTGTTGTTATTGCCATTCCATTTGTGTGTCTTTCTTTGCAACAAATGTGTTTCATGATCTCTTTCGCCGTCTTTGATGATAATTTTCGTTGTGTGTCCGCCATCCAACCAACTGAATCTGTGTCAGTGTGCTTCTGACTATATAGAATCGTAATTTTTTTATATTTCTGTTCATTTTTTCCTCATCAATTCCATTGATTTTACATGTTGAGTCTCTCTTATTTTTTATGGTGCCCGTATGTGCACTGCCGCAAATTGCTAACACACCTGCATGTGAATTTATCATTATCGAAATGCAACATCACATGTCTATCGATATGCTAGAATTTTTCTTTTCACTTCGCTCTCTTCTCTTCGTCATTTTCATCGGTCGTCTTGGTTTCTTTTTTTTTGCATTCACCAATGTGATATGTTTAATATTCTCATTTTTTTCTCTCTCTTTTTGTTTCTTCTCTAAATTCATTGTACCGTTTGCATAAAACGCATTGCGCACGCGCCACGTATGTCTAGCAATTTTCTGCGTTTGCATTTGTGTGTGGATGGGAAAGACGAGGAAAAAAACGTTTTTTTTTTATGGGCAGACTGGCACTTTTGAATCAACACGAATCAACAGATGTCAGTCAAATATATAGTTGATCCGCGTTTGTATGCTAAAAATCGGTGCTACTGATCGATCTAAGTTGGACCCGGATTACAGTATCTCAATCGTTGTTCCAATTTTACATTTTTTTTGCCACCCCAAATTTCTGTGATTTATAAACCTGTGTGAATTAAGTGCTAATTTACCTCAAAGTGACAACTTTTGAAATCCAGAACAAAAACAAAAAAAAAAAATAGTGGAAAAAATTTGCACGAAAATGTTGTGACTATAAGATACAGTTGATAAGTAAAGACTACTGCGGCGAAGCCATATAAAACAGACAGTATTGTTGTGTTTATGATTATAAATAACGTGGTATCTTTTGTGTTCTGATTACAATCCGTTAATAAACTCCATTGTTACTTTCAGTGATAAATTTGAAATTATCACATCGACAACTTGTTGTGTCCCACCTATTTGAAGAAACAACTCAAAAATAAATATAAATCAATTGAGTTTGCGGGTGATAAGTTGACTCCTGAAATTAGGCAATCAATTCATTGAAAATTGATATGCCTAATTTCGTGCGTTACTTCGAATGTTTACTTATCACAAGGTTTTTGCACTGGTGCATTTTTTTCTCTCTTTATCACTTCTAATTGGTGACAAATCGTCAACATTTTCGGCGTTCAATGGTTAGGGTTCAATTGATTCGGATGCTTTTGACGCATGTGACCAATAATATAAAAACGTAAATGCCTTCCAAGGATGTTCTTTTTTTTTGTCGTTTGAAACCATATTGAATTGACCGTCAATTTGAATCGAGAACAAATGCAAAAGAGTACAAATAAAGTCATCGCATGGAAACCATAACGACACAATGATTTGATAATGATATTGTGACAGCGATTCATCGACAAACGATTGCGCACTTATTTTCGGCGGCATGTTCTGAATTCACAAATTAGGAAATGGATATTTGGTACAATACCGATCGGCACAACGAATATATATGTTCCACTTGACAAATCGTTTACGAAATACAAAATAAAATCAGTGCAGAAATGGTCGTGCACAACTGGAAAAATGCCACATCAAATAAATCGCATTATCTGGAGACGATTTTATTGGGCAAATGTCAGAAAACAAGTTTTTAAAATGATAATTTATAGTGCATGCGGCTCACGTTCACTGCCTTCACACATGTTCAACGAAAAACAAAAGAAACCAACTTAACTCTCACAAAACCCAAAGAAGTTATCAGAAGCACAAACAAAAACAAAAATGCATTGCAAACAAAGCAACAGGCGAAAAATAGCAGCAACAACAACAACGGTTGGCTGGCAGGCATAAGGCACACATATTGAGAATGTGTTCATTCGTACGAGCAACAGTTGATGGTCGTCCAACGACATAAAAAGCAATCGGCCTGTGTGATAAAATCTCAATCGATTAGAATGAAAATGCATTTTTACGACATTTATATGTCTATGCCGATGTGTGTTATATTGTGTCATTTGGCTTTCAAATCCACACTCGACAAATCTAATGCAAATCGCTTAAACGCCAAATATATACCGTGCTTTTTTTATTGCCGGATACTATAATTTTAACACACATTATCCACAAAATATTGCAAATCAAATACAATTTGCATGCAAATCAAATACAACAACAACAAAACCGAACAAATTTTTGAATGTTCTGAAATAGAAAAATTTCTATTCTGATGCAATATAGCTATTTCGATATATTAGAACGACGCAATAGAAACGTATGGACCAACAAAAATGCATTCATAAAAACAAACCTGATCCTGATTTAAATCAAAACAAAAAAAAAATCTCACACATACATGACAAATCAAGAAAATTAATCGAGAAAAAGGTCAATAGAAGAAGATTTGTTAAATTAAGAAAAAAACTCACACACACACATAAATTAAGCGCCAAACAAAACAGCTTCAACCTGAGAATCGGCAAAGTGAAAAGGATCATTATGTTCACGAGTGATCAAGCGAAGCTGTGTTGCGATGAAACGAAAAAACAATGATTAACAAAAGTCGAAAGCAAAAAAAATGGACGTGTTCACCTTTGCAAATGCGCAATAATGGCATAGCTACACAATTTGCAAAGAAAAAAACATAATATCGCACGGCATCAAGATATCGCACGTTCATTCTCTAATTTATTCTAACGATGCATTCTCTATTTCGACAGTAATTTAGTCTGTTCTTTTTGGTTTCTCAAAATCTAATTATTTGTGCGGTATTTTTTTTTAATTTCAAACGATCATTAGGTGTTCTGGGTACTGTTGCCGCCGTTGTTGCCGAGTTCGAATTCTGGGTTATTTGTATGTCAGTGCAAGTCAAAAATACAACTCTTCTGCTTTATGCAAACATTCCATTTAAACTAAATGATTTATCACGTATTCTGTTGTTCTGCCAGCATGTTTAGAGTTGATGGTTGTGCAAATAAATTGACGCAGATTTCACACTTGTTTAATTCGTTTCCTTTCATTCTATTGTTATTCTTATACATAACGTATATGGTATTTGGATGTTGTTATCTTTCGTTCACAATTGTAATTAATGGTGAGCTGAAAAATGAACATTCTATGCATGATGCCCCCCGAAAATTTTATAAAGCAAACACCTTTCGTTTTTTTTCGATTCTTGTCGATTTCTCTTTTTCACATCTCATCCACTTGCGTCAATTTGCTCATTCATTCCAGATACTGAAGATTAATTTACAATGAGGAAGAACACATGCCAAATGCGCAACAGAAGTGTTCTGCATACTCATTTTGCCCTTGATCAATGATATTCTTGCATTATATATGTGGCGTTTCATTTTCTGGACCTGAAAAAAAACTGCTGCAAACTGAAGGTCTTCTGTTTGTGTATTTCTCATATTTTTTTACATTATTTCATCATCGTCGCAAATACATTGTGATACAGAAATTTCGAAATTGAAAGAATATTCAATGTTATTTTATCATCTGACAAATATTTCGTGGCATTTTATCAAATGACCAATTAATAAATGTTAACTTATTAATGAATTTTTGTTTTTTAAAATAAATCATTGTATACGTGTCGAAATCGATTACTTTCGGTTTTGGAAGTGACAAATGTCATTTTTAGCAGCCAACCGAGTGAAAAATACAACAATTGGATTCTAGGCGCATTCTCATAGAATGTAAAATAGAACTCAATAGAAATCCTTTTAAAATTCCATCCAACTAATTAGACAAATTAAAATGCACGGCACACATTCCAAAATTCTTTTATTGCATTGCCAGTCCAGTGCATACGCTTGTTGCGTTCCAATGCAACTTAACGATTAGATCATATAACACACCAGGTGATCATCATTAGATTAAATAAAACAATTTGCAAAACTAAACGTTTCGATCACGCTTCTTGTGCATTATTTGAATTCAATGAATAAATATGAAATTGTTCAGTGAATCCAGCCGAAACAGCAACAGCAACAGCCGCAATTTGTAACATTCATCATTTATCTTAGTTGAGTCGGTGTTCACATTTTTTTTCTCCGGCAAATTCTTCATGCTCACAAAGCTTGCATCCGATAATAATTTTTCACTTGAATAAATCATGACGTAGTTTTCTATCTCCTTTTTACGTTGGCATTAAGCTTCGATTAAAATACAATTTATTATTGTTAATTTGCCACACTACGCGTATGCTTATCACCATTCGCATGAATTGTGCATATGCTATGTCGAAATGTTGATTTGCATGCGAGCTAAAAAATTGTTTTGTTCTCGTGCATGACAAAATTCCAAACTATCGCACACATATACATACAAATACATACTTTAATTAAAAAGTCCGACTTGAATTTGAAGAGTGCTGTAGAAAAGGTGCCGAAAATTGGCCATGTACCATTTTTGGTTAGCTAACTGTTTTCTCTTCATTTTTTTATTCGGCCAATCTATTGCATAATGACAGACAAAAAGTAACGTTTATATTTCATAGAGAACAAGAATCAGCTGGTGACTTATTACTTATATTGTAGTTTGGTGTTTTTGTTGCGTTTCGAATGATGAATTTTGTGGCGTTTTTCCGACTATAGTTTTTCGGGAATTTTTTTTATCAATTTTACTTTCATTTGAAATGCGCATTTGATCACTCCGATTCGAGAATGGCCATTTTGTGCGAAAAGAAATATCCAATAAAAGATTCTGAGAAAAAAACACACGAAAGAAGTAACACTGAATTCCCATTGGATTTGTTGTTGTTGTTTTTTCGCTCGCCGAATGTGTGTTTTCAAGCATTCTTTTTTGCGCTTCGTTTGAGAATTTAAATTCGAAAAAACTTTCGATTTTATTCCATTCATCTCGCTTTCTTTCACGATATTATGACAATCGTCACCGATTTTACTATAAATGGCCCATTAAAATTATAGCTAAATTGTTTAACCTCTCTAATGTCATGGCTTTTTGTGCGTTATATGGTAAATTGATACAAATTTTGGTCATAATTTCTGTTCAATGTCGATCATTTGAAATGTATGAGCGAGAACATATGAATATGTTATCAGGCACAATTTACGGTTAACTAATGTGTTTTGATTTTGACAATGAAATTCAAATTGCACGCAAATTGCAAACAAACAAAATTCTTAAACTTCATTCATTTGTTGCTTATGTTGAAATGCTACCAGACAATATATTTAGCTGCCGTCATCTGGATATTTCAGCTCATCTGGATGCCGTCAGCAGATGATGCGAAGTGAAAACAATAGAAGTGATTGTTATAGTAATACCAGTATATAGCAAGCTTATATACCTATAACAATCAATTCTATTGTTTTCACTTTGTATCATCTGCTGACGATATCCAGATGAGCTGTAATATCCAGATGACGACAGCTAAATATATTGTCTGAATGCTACAACCGTAAATTTCCACCGAAGATCTTTTTTAATTTGCTCAATCGATTTCAATTGATGTGAAAAATATTTTGATATCAATTGAGTCCAAACACGTTCGACCTTAACGCTAAATTTAATCTAGTATTGAAATGATATTAAATCAATTTATTAGCTTATAAATACACAAAGAAATAGGGTTCGAAATTATGATCAAATTGATAGAAAATTGAATGAAATTGTTCGTATTATTTGAATTGTTTATTTACTATAATTGATTGTGGCTCTCATTCAATTGGTCATTTGTGTAATAATTTCTATACTTTTATGACTTGATTTGAAATAGTTTGTGTCGCAATAGATCGTTTGATTTGAATATTTTTGTT